ATTTTATTTGTCATATTATTCTTTTTCATTCCATATATTTTTATTATACTTTATTTTATTATGTTCTGTTATTTTTATATTCTGGTTGCACTAGTGACTGATTAATTAATCGCATTGAATTTTTTCAAGGAGAATGGCAATTTTCAAGGATCTGTGATCTCATTCCTTTGGCATGTCAGCAAGGGATGCACGTATGGATGCATTTCTGGTACATATCTCATTGGAGACAAGCTTTCAAAAAGCACGTTACGCAAACCTGGGTCACTGCTAAGCATCTCGATACCAAACCAGGGAAAAGATCAGTATACTACTTAGTGCTCTGAGTGCATAGAAAACTGATGAACCTCCATACGCTGCAGATTACTTAGTATTGACGAATACATGGTCAAGATGCGAGGACGATGTAGAAAGTGTTGGCGCTGGGCCAGGACACCAAATGCTTGAACACGATGAAAAATGCAGACATCAAAGAGTCGTCCAATATTTCAAACAAATTTTGTCTAATGATAGTAGTTTCAATAATGTATTGCGCTATTTCATTATCATTATTATGTGTAGCTTGATTATTGACGACCCCCTAAATTATGTAATAAACAAAATTTATGGGTCGGTTAAAAACCTTTTTTATTTGAGAGGGTCGATGTAGAAAAAAGGTTGGGAACCCCTAGTCTTGTGCAAAGGGAAAGTGTTTATGACTGTTTTATTGCCACTATAAACATTATTGCATTCAATAAAAATATTAGGTAAATATCCTTATACACAGGCAGATAATTAAACGTAATCACTTTTATATTTCTATTTTAATACACAACATTTACCTATAGCATACTTAAACATGAATTAAATTTATTGAATGCAAAGTGAAGTTGAAAACACAATTAGATTTTAAGTATGAAAATACGACATTTAGCGATATATTCAATGCTATGATTGATCACGATTTATACAAGATAATAAATTGTTACGTTTCCTAACTGTCCAAATTAATTGAAATTGTTTTAGTGACACCTGTCACCACAACTGATGTAGAACATTGATTTATCAGTCATAAACAGATTAAGAAATACGTTTGTGTGTTCTATCCAAACTATGATCTATAAGGATTATTTAGAAGAAATACATAGGAAAAATTTGCTTCTTAGACTCGATTTTTGAGAAAACTCATTTTTATAAAATGTTATAATACTATATATATTATATTAAGTATTTTGCAGGTATTATTTACCTAATTTTATTGGGGACAATAAATCCCTTCTCTGTTAAACAGGTTTTATTCAATACACGTGAAGAACTTTATTTCTGGCACACAATGTTATCTACAAGGAGAAGGATGTTGAGTTCCCAGACTTCCAGCTGGATAGTCATATCGCCGTGATGGAGTTCTACGTTAATCTTGCTGTATGGTGTGCAGCTTATAGATAATGTTCGTTAATGTTGTTGATAAGTAGATGATGAAGTTACCGAAGTTAATGTAGAAGGAGCGTTGCCAGAGTTTTGTAGAAGAGTAATACGAGGTAGAAGGAGATGGTGGGAATGGGATAGAAAAAGTAAAGGAAGGTGACGTTAGCTCGTAGGGTTGAGCTTTCCACTCAACTATTGGGATTAGAGGAAAGTAACGGATATGTAATTTATAGCTGATAGGCCAGTTCTGAGATGTGCTTTGTTTGGTATCTCCCAGGGAGTAGTACTGATCACAGCGATATACACCAACGATATAGATGAAACAAACATGATTTTTTTTTCATGTTTATTTGACATTTTTTAACTTGACTGGCTATATACCGCAAGGTGCGAGCAAAGTTTCATACCTGGTAAGAGGTGTAAACAAAACAAGGGTAGCAAAGGATGCTTAAGAGGAATATAAAAAACAATAGATTTCTAAATCCAAAATATATTAAATAACGAGAATAACAATATTTTCTCAATCTGAGTCCATCGTATCCTCATAACAATATAAATAGGTGTCATCCATCTCCATTTGCATTTCTTCATAACAATGCAGGTCCATTTCATCTATCCCTTTGTGACTTTCATCTGAAATATATTCATAAAAAAGGGATGAATTATATCAGAATTCTCATTTTCTTCCTCATCTATCTGCTCACTTTTCTCTGCCTCCTCGGCATTTACTCTTCCTGAGATATCGTCTAAGTCTTCGTCAAAAATGGGAACGTCGTCCGATTCCTGTTTTATTCCCTGGGCTATTCCCTCGACAATTTCATCACCTAATTTTACCGACCTGACAAACATTTCTTCTGTGTCGGGAACATCGTTGTTTAAAGATTCCTCCTCCTGATCTACAGAAAACATCATGCCTTACTAGGACAATGCTTAGATTAACAGTTTTCTCACCTATTGCTTTATCTTCGTTATTAGGTTGCACTTCGCCTAACTCATCTGCTACCTCAACATCCGGATCCAATAGGGATTCTTTGTCTTTCAACTCCTCGTCAACATTCTGCTTCTTAACATTCATCTTTTGCAAGGAAATCTTTTTGTTCTATTAAATGCAATGACAATGACAGAACACTTCTCAGGTTAATGTTACTAGAGACAACTTCAGGGTGCAGAAACAATTGATATTAGACCAAATTGTATTTGACAACACGCATGCGCCATGAACCAAAACTTGCAACGAAATAAAAAAAAAGTATTATATTTATAAGACTAATAGCTTTTTTTTAGTCATCCAAATTCTATCCATGTATGTATATAATTGCTAAGACATTACAGAAAAATTAAATTACATGAATTTTCAATAATTGCGATACTTTTTATTAAGTAAATAAAATAGAAGTTTATATTCTTCCATACAAAAATTTGATTGGACATGGATAATAGTATTTAACAGTGAATTCGTTAATTATAAATGAAATTTTGCTAAGGACGGCGCAAATCGGTTTGCCTGGTGCGAGAAATTTTTTTGTGGACGCCTATGGACTGAGTGAAAAGTCAAATATCTTATTTTAATTGTATTGTAAAGTATGTATAAATTATGTCACAATATCACATATAATTCTAAATTGCTTCTAGAATTATTATTATAATATGTATAAGAAATGTATTGGCGTTTAAACTTTATAATTAACGTAATATATTTCAGGTTATACTCAGTCAAAATCAGTGGCGTGCATAGCAACAAATCTATTATACAAAATTAATGACCCACCGGTGGGTCATGCCGTAGTGAACGTGTTAAAAATCCTTCATATAGCTATAGTTGTTTGATTGATAAGCTGTTATCGAGAAGACTATAAAAAAATATTCAGGAAATGTAGCTTTGTCGCTTTGCCTTGTTTATAATTGTATTCTATTTTTCAGTCTAAATCTATGGTTAATAACACTTTGTTGCGTGTACTTATTGTGATTGACCACACTTTTATTGAGTAGGCAGGCAGGCGCAAATGACACTGATTTATTGCCACCCTAAACATAAACCGTATTCTAGGAGGTCTCATAAAAATAGTAGGTACAGACCCTTGACACGCGATAATGCATTATCCAATGTCCAGTCTCTCACCCAGATAGTGAAAGTTTAGTTTTAGTTAATACGTTAGGAAAAACAAGGTAACCCCAAATAAAAACAACAACAAATGTTGGGAGCCGATAAACCCGAAAACGGTAGAAAAAGGGCTAAAGAGAAAAAAATTATGCTACAATAATAAATAAAGATATTTTAAGCCATATTATTTTATTTTTATTATTATTTCCAAACTATTGAACACACCAGATTTCTTCACAAGAAACTTAACTTCACAAGAAACTATCATCGAGAAAATCTTTTAAGCAGTCAAAGAAAATCACAAAGTTATGTATAATCTGGTTATACCCATTTGAAAAAATTTCAAATAATTTATCCTGTGTAACCATCTTAACCATAAATTCTACGTATATCATGTTCAGGTTAATTTGTGATTTGGCGTAAATCACCAGATCTTGTAAGTTGTAAACTAATTGAAGTAGACCATGCATCTGATTCAGGAATTCTTCTAATTGTATCTTCCTATCTTCGTCATTTTCTTCGATGATGGTGATTTCTAATACATTCTTGTAAGATTGCAACAGGGTCGCTATAGAATCCATTTCTTCATGGAAAACATTCCATACTATGCATTCTTTATTTAACCTCTCATCGAGCCAAATTGATTTTTTGGTATATTCCGCAGGTGTAAAGATGTCTTCTGTAGTAATTCGCTCATAAAACTCTTCTTTCCGCATTGTTGTTTTACTAGATATCCTAACAAGACACAACGTAATCTTGAAGATAATTGATTCCATTTTGACACGGACATATGGAATAGCCATTTTTTTGATAGTACGTCTTTAGTGGTGCAGGTCACTATTAAAATACATCGACACTAATATCTGCCTTAGACGTGGACTGAGTTCAGCACAATGGATTATAGCACAATGCTTATGACACTGACAGTCATCAAAACTTAGTTTGACCCCAACGTGTGGCGCCACTTGTGTTTCTCGCTCAATTATTTGAATATTTTATATTTCATACATAGTTAAAAAATTGTTTAATAATTCTTCTGAAAACAAGTACATATTTTTTAAATGAATTGTTTGATGCAAAATCAAGTTATTGTTTGCAGAGTCAGTACAATATTTTTCCATTGATATTGACTTTACTGTATACCAAATGGTCTAGAATTATATAAATGTTATAAAAAAAGCAATTTGATAAAAGAGACAAAACTACATCTTCATTTTTTTTTTCGTGGTCGTTAAGCAGATAGGTCGTAAAGTGAGGAGTGCCTGTATATATTATCGTAATAATTAAAAAAACATATAAATTCATTTTCTTGTAATCTTGTATCTATTATATATTTTGTATTTCGTTCCGAATTTTAGTTCATAGCATATCAGTATAGGTGGACTGACTTTAATTGTTTATGCAGCCTGAAGTTGATTATAGTAGTATTAATTTCACAAGTGTTCTGTTATTGTCATTGCTAGACGAAGAAGATTAATAGTGCATTACTAATATTAATATGGAGAGTGCTAAAGAGCAGATCGAAGACAACGCATTCGATGCTTTATTGAATGCAATAAAAACTGATCCGGACCTGGAGACAGCTTTGGAATTATGCCCTGAACACGAAGAAAATTTTCTAGGTAAGATCTAAGTAGTGTCTAAATGAGGCATGATACTTTCAATATTTCAGATATATTCTGGATAGATGTAAATGGAGTTCAAGAGGAGGACGTACCCGACGGAGAAGTTTTCTTCAGGTCGGTAGAGTTAGGCAGAGATAATGTCGAAGAGATTGCTGCCGGAATAAAACAGGAACCGGACGACGATCCTATTTTTGACGAGGACACGTTAGATGTCGACGATTTACCAGCGAATGTCGAGGAGATGGAGATGGAGCTGGAGGAAAATGAGCTCCCTGAAGAATATCATTTTAATATAGTTCGCCAAAACGGAGAAATTGCCGAGGAGATAGACGAGGAGGAAAACGAGGAGGTAAACGAGGAGGAAGACGAGAACCATGATCTAATTGAACCGTTTCTCTATGAAGAAGAGGAAGAAATTGACGAGGATATAGAGGAAGAGGAAGCTGCACCACCTGATAATTACAACATCTTCTTTAATGAAGATGCAATGGAGGCGTTCGACCACCAAATATAGAGATATTTTAAATAAAGTATTTGTTCTTTTTTGTGTTCCTTTTTTCTTTGAAGAATTTGGATTAATTAAACTGTAAAAACTTTGATATATTTTTATTGATTTATTTTGCGATAAAATTATTCAATAAATGTCTAAACCTTATTAACTGAGAGAAGATTTATTGACCATAATAGGAAAATAATACCTGCAAAATACTTATCATAAAAGATAAATAGTCACTTGTATCTAGTCTTATATCAATTGCATTTTATAAAAGTGATTTTTTATCAAGAAACGTGGATTCATGTTGTTTTCGAAGCGATTTTGTTCGATCGATAAAAAAATAGTTTTATTCGTCATTAACTTCATATCAATTTTGAAACTATACTTTATCTATTTATATTTATCTGCTATTCTTTGTTTCATATGAGAAATTTAAATACAGTGGAACCTCGCTGAACGAGCACCTCGCATAATGAGCATTTTGCTTAACGAGCAAAATGAATTGTAAGAAAAATGACTCGCTTAATGAGCGACGTTTCGCATAACGAATGACGATGAGAAGAGAAGTCCTGGATTGCACGCCTGCTGCATCATTTTTAAAACTTGTGTACACATATTATGCGAATTTTTGAATGTTTCACTATGCGAGTATTTCATTATACGAGTAAAAATCAGGAAATTTTGGAACGAATTAAATTTGTTAAGCAAGGTTTCACTGTAAATCAAAGTTTGCTGTCACATTCATACTGACATGTGACATGATATGCTGAATTCGACAACCGTTACGTGTATATTAATTAACATTTTAATTAGTGAGCATATAACTTTTAATCCTAGAATCATTCATATTTATTTTTTAGATTAAATTTTGATTTCGATTAAAATTTCTCAATTTCCGGATCCTCGTATTGAGAAAAGCGTTATGTGTAATAAAGAAATTAATTTTCTCAATCACTACAATAATTATTTAAAAATATGTATTATTTTGCCATCTATGATAAATCTCGGAATTAGAATAGTCCTGATCCTTTTCCAATATGCATCTTCACTTGTTTCCACTAGCGACATCCGGTAGGACGAGTAAACCATTTTACAGGATTATACGAGTTGAAGAATCAAGTGCACGGAAAGTTTTGTGATCCTTTTCAATTAAATAGTAAGTATCTAACTTAGATTATTATCGATTCCCTTCATTGCAATACGCTAGAAATCAATAAATATTTTTATTTGTTGCAAAAGTGATTTTAACAATTTTCGCCGTTGGCCATTTTTGTTTCTCTTTGTAGCGAGGTCCTTCCTCGTGTAATTTTAGAGATTTCTTTTAATGATTCCGCCTATTTAGTCAATAATTGCCATGCTTTGCGGATCACGCTCGATTTTAATCAATATCATTTCTGTCCAATTGAATTTCCAGATCGATCTGATGAAATCCAGTTAACGGTTAAATGATTTTTATTGGGAAATAATTTACCGCCATTTCTTTACAATATAACCGCCGTCTCCATTTCGACATCCCTTATCCAAATTTCAGCTATTAAGACATGAATGAGTGAAAATATGAGGTTATAAAAAATCTTGATCGCTTTGAAATTCCATTTCGACAGAAAAATCGGCCGATTTTTTTTTATCCGACCCGATCAAATTTGATTAATTCTTGAATAATTTTTTGCTTCCGAATGTTTGTGTTTATCGTTATTTAACCATCGTTTCAACTTCGCAAACCTTTCAAAAGGCCTAATTTCAATTAACACTTCCATTTTTATTTATTAATTAATGAAAATACGAGTTTTAACTAAACCTTGATCGTAATGAAAACATTAACAGATTTTAATAATTAAATTACAAAATGTTTAAATACTAAATTACAAAACTTATATAATAGCAATTTGCAATATCCACAGCTTGCTACTTGTCAAGTAATGTGTCAAGTACATTTACTTGTTGAAATTCTCATACCGATATAAGCACTTGTTAAATACGCATTTGCACAATAAGCGGTACTTGATTACCTGTGCCAATTGTCTGAAATCATTTTTAAATGAATTGTTTGATGCAAAATCAAGTTATTGTTTGCAGAATCAATACAATATTTTTCCATTGATATTGACTTTACTGTATACCAAATGGTCTAGAATTATATAAATGTTTTAAAAAAAGAAATTTGATAAAAGAGACAAAACTACATCTTCATTTTTTTTTCGTGGTCGTTAAGCAGATAGGTCGTAAAGTGAGGAGTGCAAGTATATATTATCGTAATAATTGAAAAAACATATAAATTCAATTTCATGTAATCTCGTATCTATTATATATTTTGTATTTCGTTCCAAATTTTAGTTCATAGCATATCCGTATAGTTGGACTGACTTTAATTGTTTCTGCAGCCTGAAGAAGATTAATAGTGTATAACTAATATGGAGAGTGCTAAAGAGCAGATCGAAGACAACGCATTCGATGCTTTACTGAATGCAATAAATTCTGATCCGGACATGGAGACAGCATTGGAATTACGCCCTGAACACGAAGAAAATGTTCCAGGTAAGATCTAAGTAGTGTCCAAGTGAGGCATGATGCTTTCAATATTTCAGATATATTCTCGATAGAGGTAAATGGAGTTCAAGAGGAGGACGTACCCGACGGAGAAGTTTTCTTCAGGTCGGTAGAGTTGGGCAGAGAAATTGTCGAGGAGATTGCTGCCGGAATAAAACAGGAACCGGACGACGATCCTATTTTTGACGAGGACACGTTAGATGTCGACGATTTACCAGCGAATGTCGAGGAGATGGAGATGGAGCTGGAAGAAAATGAGCACCCTGAAGAACATCATTTTAATGTAGTTCGCCCAAACGGAGAAATTGCTGAGAAGATAGACGAGAAGGAAGACGAGGAGGTAAACGAGGAGGAAGATGAGAACCATGATGTAATTGAACCGTTTCTCTATGAAGAAGAGGAAGAAATTGACGAGGCTATAGAGGAAGAGGAAGCTGCACCACCTGATAATTACAACATCTTCTTTAATGAAGATGCAATGGATGCGTTCGACCACCAAATATAGAGGTATTTTAAATAAAGTATTTGTTCTTTTTTGTGTTCCTTTTTGGTTTGAAGAATTTGGATTAATTAAACTGTAAAATCTTTGATATATTTTTATTGATTTATTTTAGAAACCTTAGGCGACTTCATTGCTGTGGGTGACTATAATGCAAAACACACAAATTGGGGCTCAAGATTAATTACTACCAAAGGGCGTGAACTACTGAAAGCAATGCAGTCACTACACCTCGCGCCTGTTTCCACTGGTGAACCAACTTATTGGCCAACAGACAGAGCCAAACAACCTGACCTGTTGG